AGTCAGGAGGATTTCCCTATGGATGACTGGCCTGTGGATGGGTGGGTGTTTATTCAAACCTGTTTGAACTGGTTCTGCCTTAGTGTTTGGTTTCTGACATGAAATAGTTTTAAGACTCCAAAATACAATGATGGTTTTCTAATGTATCCCTCTAATCCTTCTAATCTAATTATCCTTAATATTTCCATCCTTGATCTTCCCTCGCAAGTCTTTCTTCAAAGATTTCAGGGTTAGGGCTTTTAAATGCACCCATGTTGTTGGGCAGAGATCTCCCATTTTTAAAGAGTGCCATTTCAGATTACCTATGCCTTTGTCCCTTTTCCATTGGGAAAATCAAGTCCCTTATTGGGAGGCAGAACAACAGGCACAAGCAATTGCTACCCAGTGTAAACAACAGGCACACAACGCCTACTGTATCTCTGGAAAAGAGTAACATAGAATAAACATTAAAAACAAAAGTATCCCTCAAACTTTCAGCTCTAGAGCTGGTCCCATCCCATGTCAATCTATCAAATAACAAACCTATAAAGTTTATTGATGCTTGTGGTTGTTACGTATCAACGTTCAAGTCCATGTAAAGAAAACTATTATATGTCTATAATTGCTTTTTATTTGCATATACGTAGCATATAACAATAACCCAGAGAAAATGTTCTTGTTCTAAGTCTAAAGCAGGCCTGCTACATTCCTTAAAAGGGAGGGCAGGTTTAAATTCATTCTCTCAGTTAACTGAATCGTGGAAACTGGGCCATGTCTTAGAAACATCATCTTTGTTTCCCAACTGCAACATGGAAACAGTCCCAGTTCTGGAAAGAAAGCTGATTTTGACACGTTTGTAGGTTTCCTTGCAAATTTTTTTCTCAAATATGTGTTAAATTTTTTTTTTTTTTTTTTGTAAGTCATGCACAGGACATATCAATCAAACATATAGCTGTCCTTAAAACAAGATGGGGGGTGAGATCTACTGCTGAATGAGGCCCAGCCAAAAGTCTTGAATGAGAAGGGTGTAAGAAAAAAAGAAAATAACCGTTGAGATATGATCAAGTGAGAAAAAGGCCCCACCAACAGCCAGTACAAAGGACCCATAATCTCTTCCTGCACTCCTGTCCCTTCATAACTGAGTCTTCCAGGTAGGTGAGTCAAGATTCCTTGAAGATTCCTCTTAAGGCTGCACACACCCATGTAGGCTTTAATAAATAGCCATGTTTGCAGAGGCAAGTCTTCACATCTTGTTCACTCCCAGTAATTCAGATCCAGAAAACCATAACAGTGGAAGCCTTGTTTCCCTAAACAACTCAGAACTGGCTCTTGTTGGTACTTATAAGTCAACCATGACAAAGTAAGCATTATTCGCAGCGACTGCAGCTGTTAGATATGTAGCGGCGGCGAGAGTTGAGCTGAAATACCACAACAATGGAAGTACTGAAATAGTTTTAACTGCTGTGACAAACGTAGGAGTTGGTCTAAATAATAACTGGCTCCACCTTTTGTAAATACCTGTCCAGCCGGTCAAACCAAAGAAACTTGGTTCACTCAAATCTCCTGGCGTAAGCTTTCAAGTCACCATTGATCATATCAAACATAACATTTGCCTTATTTTTTCAACATGTAATAAAGTACTAAATAATTAAATCTGTGAATACGTCATATGTACATATGTGTGTGTATTTATCAGCCCTTAAATCACAATGTCTATTATAGGCCACACCACAAAGGAAAGCTATGTCATGTGGGTAACATTTATATCTACTAACATGACTAACAAAGACAAAATGAAAGTAAAATTGCTAAGATTTCGAAGAACAACATAGCAACTATGTTTTGTAGCATGTTGACAACAACAGATTTATTAACTGTCGGTAGCCACAAATGATACCTTGTCTTTGCTGTCTCATGCATTCTGTGCAATCCTTCTCTGTGCTTACATGCATGACAAAATCTGTTTCCTGTATGACTAAGGTTTGCTGATCATTAATTTGTATTAAACATTAATCCAGTCTTACTACTGTAGTTGCATGTGCAGAAATAAACTGTTATCAGTAGTAGCAAAAGCACAATTATAAGCTTTATCTCTATGACGTTATAAAGCCTGTAATGCATGGATAGGTATTAATTGTATTATCAAGTTTTAATAGCTGGAAAAATACAATCAATTACATAGTTATTAAAAGGTTATATTTGTGCAACAGTAAAAATGCTGTTAATAGTCTAAGATGTGTCCGTGGAGAGGCTCATAACAGTTAATGAAGTCCTTGCCAGAAAGTGTGCATTACTTTTTGTACCATGTCATTAAAAATACATCAGGAAACCAGATACCTCAAGATTTGCTTCCTTCACATACATACGCAGATAAAACCTGACTGTCAGAGAAGCCAGCAGCGTGAACGAGGATTAGTATGACCGCTGCTCACATGAGGGTATTTATAGGTAATCTCATTCAGACAGGGAGTTCTGCTTTGAAGCCTCTCTCACACCCTGATTCAGACTGACACTCCTCCACGGTGTCCACTTTTATGTCCATAAATTTCAAATGGCTCTGTGTTCTATCTGTCAGTTCAGGGAGTGGTTTTCTGATCCTATGTACTCATCAGAGAAGAATGCTCCAGGGTCTATTATGATGACACATTTATAGGGTACGTTAAAAATAGAGACAAAAGCTGCACACTTGCTAGTTAACTTCCCTACTGAAATCTAAGAAATATTTTCTAAATACTTTTTAATTAAAGGTGGACTAATTAGTATTTAAATTAAATGGCTGGTCAACTGAACCCACTATTAATAATAGATATTTGCTGTAAAAACATCCAAAGACATAAATTATCAGGTAAGGGTTAATAAAGGAACTAAAGACAAAATTTAAAAGGTAAATACTAAAAGAAATAACTAGTTAACTAGTATCTAAAAAGTTAGCTGGTTTGCTAATTTATTTTTAATGAATAAATGCATTATTTTACATATGTTTTAGTAGGAAAATATTTAAATCAGACAAAATACATAAAACATAAGTTTAGTATATAACAGTATGTCGATGACATAATCGTTTATTTTATCTGCCCTATGTTTTTATTGCATCAGATGTATTTTGACAGTTTTCAGATAACGAACAGTTTAATTCCATAATTAAAGTCTCCATGTTCCATTTATATTAGGGTTAAAACAAGAACAATAAAAAATATATATATTCACTATAAGCATATTACTTGCAGGTTATAGTTTTAAGTTGTTCGCATTAAGATTTCCTGCCACACAATCCTAAAGACAAAGTTAGGCCTCATCGATGTATGACACATTAGCCAGTGTAGAAGTTTGGCTTTGTTGGTGTATAAATATGTTTAATTTTTATTTCTCTAACAAAGTAATTCAAAATCAATCATGATTTTTTTAATGCTTTTGAGCATTATAAGGTTTATTTGCAAACATTTGTTTATTAACTGTGCAGTTTTCCTGCATAAACTTTTATGTATAAACCAAACAAAGAGGTTCAGTGGCAAAATTGTTGATTTACACACATTTTTCAATAAAGTGGCATGTTTATGGTGAAGCATTTTGATCTGGAAGCTAGAGTAAAACAAAAAGAGGTGCTGTACCATGAACACTGTTCTGCAGCTACACTTACATGCAGATAATATCTCGGAGCTGCAACAGAGCCTCTACAGGCTGTTGTAAAAAGGAAACCACTGCAACTTGCACACTGTCTCTTATCCTCTGCACTGTTCACACTTTGACCACTGCTGCACTTTTTGTATTTTTCTATAACTTGTGCCATTTGAAATATCAATGCAACGTTCATAAGCTGTATGTAACGCAATTTCGTTCTGTATGCACCCTGTGCATACAAAATGACAAATAAAGAAGTCTAAGTCTAAGTCTAAGTAAAATACCCCAGGCAAGTTAATGGATGAGCCTGACCATCCGCTTCTAAAGAATTTAATAAAACAACCGTGCAGGTTCAAGCTTTTTTTTTTTTTTTTATCCATCACAATAATAAATGTTACAGAAGATCCTCCTGCCCTTAGTCATCATCACTCAGTTATGAAAACATTTAATTTTCCTTTAGGACCAACAAGACATAAGAAAAAGACAGCATTCAGGTACTGCACAAAGATATATTTTATCATTTGCATTTACTTTACCATAGTATTATAGTGACTCTTAATCAAAGGGAAACTCGAGGGCAATTAAATCTGCCTTTAAATTATTCTAAAATACTGACAGTGTTATTATAAATGAAAAGTGACTCTTCTTTTCAGTCACATCTAAAACATCCTTTAAGCCTTTCTTTTAATAAGTCAAGCATCCAAAACTATTTTCTTAAGTATTCAATGAAAATTATTATAATTTTTTTATTGAAATGTGTTTTGTCTATGTTAAGCCGATAAAAAACAAATCACAATAAAGCTATTTGTTGCGGGGGTTTTTTTTTTCCATGTGGCAGAAAGTTTGACCACCATTGCACTAATTGAAACCCTGCAGTGGAATAAGCCTTTGTGGGGGAGTTGAAAAGACAATCCAGTTTCTTGTGTAGATTATGGAAGATTACAGACAGTCGCACCTAAAACCAATAGCAAAACTTCAGATGATTTCAAATTTTCTAGCAGCAGTTTTCACTTTTTTTTTCTCAGCCTGTGTATGTGTAAACAATAGTGGGCACCATCAGAACTACAACCCAGCAGGAAGCCAGATTTTATTTGTGCTGTTGCTGGTAGGCAGTGTCCCTGCAAATAAAAAATGTATTTGTTCTGCAGAAATTTAACATAGTTAGGATTTTCTGTCATTCAAAGGGAAGTGATTTTCCTTGAGAGGGTTACTGTTGGTGAATGCCTGTGGTTTCTTAGGACAACTCCTCTGGGTCAGGCAGATCTGTTTGTATACAATAGCACGTCACAGTGTGCGTAAAACTGTCTAGTCTCCACCCCTGGCTCCTCCTCTGGGCTCCTGAGCATCTTAGCTGATGCAATAAAGCCTGAGTCCCAACCCCTCCTCCATCAGAACAGGCTCTTCTTTCGCAGCACATCACATCTCCAAGGACTCTCTGCTTTATTTCTTTATAAATCAAATTTATCTCTCTTATACGATCAGGTCTTAACATTTCAAAGTTCATCACTTTGATTACTTGAACTGGTCTAGCTTCTTTAAAAGAAAAAAAAAAGACCCTCTTTTTAATTTGTCAGTTTCATTCATTTTTTCGATTTATTTCCAAATAATCTAAATAAAGGATAAAGGATCAGCTGGTTTTTGTGAAGAAATCATCTTGAAATCTCGTTTTTTAGGATTTTTGAAGCTTCTTTCTTCATTCTCACAAGGTAAGAATGCCGGCATCTTAAATGAAGGACTGGAAAATTACCAGAGAGAGGAAGTGGAAATATTCAAACAGCAGAAAGCTTAGAAATTACAATTATTATTTAGGATATCCTCTATGCTCCATAATTATGTACTATTTACTATATATTATATGTTGATGTTAACATCTGTTGGAGAATTTAGATAAAAAATGTGAATATTTGAATTAAATATTTTTTTCTAAATAAAAAAAAAAGCGCGACGCGTCAACAGTTAATTGGTCAATCTTTAATAGAATTTAAATAAACGATGGATTTGTGTCAGTGAGGTTAAAGGAATGCATTTTTAAGGCAAAATGCTGTAAATATAATTGATCTCATTTATGTTTGGGTTAAAGATGTGTTGATTTCGATTTGTTTGGGAAATTTGAAATTTGACTATAGAGCGTGAGTCAGTGCGCAGCGCGCTGCGGATGCGCGGCGGCCATGCCCATATAAAGGCGCGCACGTGTCTTTTGTTTCTACTGAAGCCGGCTGTGGAAATAATGCAATTAAATAGATCTGGGCATTAGTCATGAGTGGGGAAATATTACTTACTTCATGAATATCCATATAGGGTGGATGACTTTACAAAATCATGATAATTGGAGCACTTTTTCTCCATATGATGCTATTTATATGTCATTTTAGTTTTTTTTTGTATTTAAAGTGATGTCTCTAAACAAGTTTGTAAGATTTTCTTAAATTGGTACTGCATTTGCAATCACTCTTTATGGGCGTTGTAAAGATCAGCCACTGCGGTTCTTTTTGTCCTTCAGCATCCCTTCCTCATCTTCGTGATGCTGAAGCCTCGCGCTCTGTATTTTTCCATTGGCTGCGTCATCACCCCCGCCCCTCCCTCACCGAAAAAGATCTCACGCGCTCTAAATATTGATCATCATCAATTCATTTTCCTCTCTGTCCTTCAATAGTAACCCCCCTCAACTTCTGATACCCCCCTAAAAAATGCTCAAAATAAAAAAAAATTAGATTTGTTCATTTCATATTTTTGGATTGCACTGAGCAATCATAATTGCAGATGTCAAAAAGTCTACGCCCTGTGCTTTAGAGCAAAGTCTAAATATATACTCCATTTAAGAAATACATAGCTAGCACATTTTGACGCACATACTTAAAGAATTCAAACATTGCCTAAAGCTAACCTCTACATTAGGACATTGTAATGATCCACCCTAATGTGGAGTTAAAGTACCGTGTGGAATCCCTGCTTGGCATGCATTATCTTTTATTATTATTGCTGCTAATTGCAGTGTAAACATGTGCCTTTTAAAGGGGTGTGGTGGATTTGACGCAGGAAGAAAAGTAAATACAGTAATCTAACTATTTCTTTTGTTTTTATTTGTGTGCGTTTAGTTCTAAAATGTCCGATAAGGCTTGGTCTAGAACTGAGATGAAATGCCTGAACACTCCTGGAGATGACGACAGCTGCAGCTCCAACAGCAATGACTACCCCGACTATGGAAAGAAGGTTCCTCTGGATGGGTGAGGCTCATTTTGACGTGTTCCTACAGGCAGACTTAAGAAATAAAACTTTGGTTTAACATATTTAAAACAAATTCTCTTCCTTCTATTAAAGGCCATGCTCCGATTTAGACGCAGAGAGTGAAAACTTCCTTACTGACCCCAACACAAGCAAGAAGAAATATGAAACTGAATATGTAAGTTTCCCTATATTCAATATTGTTGCACAAGGTTTAGTTTATTATTATCTACAAATTCTGTGTTTTCTTCTCTTTAGCACCAGGGCAATGCCTCCTTCGGCATGTCCGTCTTTAACCTGGGCAACGCCATCATGGGCAGTGGCATCCTGGCTCTGTCCTTTGCCATGGCCAACACCGGCATCGCCCTGTTTGTGTAAGCACTCTTTTTTTGCAGAATCTAAAACCTTTAGCCAAACGTTTATCTCAAATGATTTGCAAACCCAGATTGAGCAGAAAGGAGTTTAAGCAGGTGTTACTTCAAGGTCTCAAGTGCTGATGTTTCCATATTATGCAAGATATGGTTTGTTGCTCTTTTTTTCTCCACCACCAACAGCTGTGTGACCTTGATAGTGTGGATAAGTGCCAGGTTAGATGGCTGCTCTTGTTCTGAATGTTAAAAGAGGAGATATCTTTAATCAATAGCTATTTATTTGAGAATTTTGGTAATGGCCCCCCCTGTTGGATATTTGTAAGAACAACTTAAAGACGTCTTGTGACATCTGCGTCCTTGATTTCATCAGACTTTACCATGTTTCTTTAAACAGAACGTGGAGGAGTATCTTACTGAGGCTTGGTTTCCTCTACCCCATAAATGGCATAAGAGGACGAGATCTAGACTAACATGACTATTTATCTAAGCAATGAAAAAGTAGAAGTGCTTCTTTTAGTCAAAGCAGAATGAGGATGTTTTCTCTCGTAGTTAGCCTCCTAGTTCTCAGACAGGAGCTTAAGGCCACTTTCAGAGTGTCCAGAGAAGCGGCTTATAGATAATCTTGCTAGCCAAGCATTACGTAAAGGGTAGATGCCATTCACATGCAGGGGATCATGAGTGGTGCAGGGAGGAAACTGGTCTGACGGTGCTTGACTAATCTGAGCTGAGATCTGCAGGAAGTAGAAGACTGTAATTTAAAAAAAAAATGTTCCTTCCTTTTATCGTTTTGTAACTGAGCTTATGATACAAAGAGACATTGTCTGCATGAAACATGATCTAAGTATATCAAAATAGCTTTCAATTGGAGGACATCTAGAAGCTTATTTAAAGCTTAATTAGTCAAAAATGTTCAGTTAGAGCGAGTCGAACCAAGAGCAGGGGAAGTACAGGAGAAAGGAACCACTTCGCTTTTGCATTGCAAGTCTCCAATGGTGAGGGGCTTAATTTTCACCTGGTCTATTAATACACTGGGACACACTGTACTAGCATACAGTATCCTGACGGTATGAGGATGATCCCGTGTCGGGAAACCTCTCATCATTCCCTGCTCCGCTGTTGCAGTCATTACAAGGTCCTCCAGTTTGTTCCAGATTTGGTTGTAGGTTGTCCCCCAATCTGCCACCTTGAGGAAATCAATGAATGTAGGACATGCGGTCACAACACAAGCAGATTTGACCTTCACTTTAGCTTAATGGTGGTGTGTTTGTTTACCATCTGAAAAGTGCTCTTGTCTTTCAGTTGGCCTTTATAGTCTCATGTTCAGAATTGTATTTGATCAAGGCCTGTTCTTCACTACAGACGGTTTTTTTTCCATTTAATTACATTTTAGTCACAAGTCTCCCTCTAAAGACCTTCTCTTCTGTTTACAGGATTCTCCTTGCTTCTGTTGCCATTTTCTCCTTGTATTCTGTCCACTTACTGCTAAAGACAGCCATAGAAGGAGGTGAGCACCAGCCCAACTTCCAAACAGCTTTTTATGTTTGATTCCTTCAGATGGTAGATGTAAAACTATGTTTTTTTCTTTTTCCAAGGGGCCAGTGTTTATGAGGCGCTGGGATACAAAGCATTTGGGATGCCAGGAAAACTTGCAGCTTCCTGCTCCATCACCATGCAGAACATTGGAGGTGAGGGACCGATCTTGGTTAATAGAGACCTCAGGACATTTGCTTTCTGTGTGAACTTCTTTGTCAAGACTATAGTTTTTTTTATTAAATATTCTGACTGTTTGTTTCTGTTTGTTTTTTTTTTTTTTACAGCCATGTCGAGCTACCTCTTCATCATCAAATATGAGCTCCCCATCGTCATTCAGTCTTTTACTGGAGCAAATAATGGGTGAGTGGCTATATCTTAACTTTAAATTCAATTATACATCCATTTCATAGCTATACATGTTTGTCTTATTCCTTAGTTTTGTTGCTGTTAATAGACTAGTTAATAAATGTTTAATTACATCACTACAATTCATTTTTTTTGTTAGATATTTAATATGGTAATTTGTTATTATTTTGTTTCTGATCACCGTTTGGAATAGTTAATGAATATGACTCCCTGAGGAAACTAAAATAAACTTAGCAGATATCTTCTCTTTGAGCAACACAGCCACATTTCCCTTAGTAAAGCATGAATCAGATACAGGAAATAATTTAAAACCATTGGTCAAGGTATAAAAGATGATTAAAAACGTGTGATAATTTACTCCTGGTTAGGATGGCTCTATTTAATTTATAAAGAAATGTACAAACTGTGACAAAGGTGACAAAAGTACAAAATGGCGTAATGACTTGCACAGGTTGAACAGTACACTAGTTGTGTTAACAAATCAGCTGCTGTTTCTGCAATAGAAAAAAGAAGCTCTATAGCACACCCTGGTGGTCAGAAATAACTAAAATGTGTTTGATAACTAATATATTAAAACATTTAAGCTTGGATCATGTCTTTAAATTTAGTTGTTCATCATCTCTATGGCTTTGATATATTTTTAAAGGATTTTAGATCATTTTTAAAACTAAAATAGATTAAATCTGAAAGAGATTTGCTTTAACATTAGTAAGAATTAGTTGGGGGATTATGTTAATAAAATGTTAAAATTACCTTTCTGTCAAAAGGACTTGAAAAAGGGTTAAATGGATCAAAGTGTCTGCCCGTTTTTTATCTTATGTTAACTCACAGAGAAGCTGAAACAGTCTTTGTCTTTCTACACCGGCTGGGGCAGGGAAGGGGGCTGTGTCTGTGTAGGAGGGACATCTGGGCATCCTGATAGGACGCCAGCAATCTTTTACTAAGAAGGGGCCCTTTAAAGGGCGCCTTTTAGAAGATGCAGCTGCTGCCGCATTGGGATACTCTGCAGGATGAGCTCACAGCGATTTTGCTCCAAGTTTAAAAAATTGATGTAGCTCCGCTCCTTTGAGCTGCTTTGTTTTATCTATTTATGGGAGCGGTGCAGTCATCCTGCACAGGCTGGCGGTGTTTGTGAAGCTGCTGGTTGTTGTCACTGCAGCAGTATTAGTGCAAACATGTTTTACTCCTTAAGCCAGTTAATTCTCATTAAAAAATGCGATATCTATCTTTTATGAACTCACTGATGTTATTTCTTTGTGTATTTCAGTGAATGGTACATTAACGGAGATTACCTTGTTCTGCTGGTTTCGGTTATTCTTATCCTGCCCCTCTCTCTGCTGAAGAACTTGGGTAAGGAGGGTTTGAGTTATAAAATTTACTTTACTAGTATTTCAAATGGCAGGTTTAATCAGAATTTTTTTGTTCTCCATTAGGTTATCTTGGTTACACCAGTGGTCTGTCTCTTCTCTGCATGGTTTTCTTCCTGATTGTGGTGAGTATGGCTCCACCTTGTTTTGTTATTCCACCTGTAGCCCTAAGATTTAATAAATCATTCCACTAAAAACTTTCAAAAGGATATAAATAGTAAAATAGCAGCATAGAAACATGTTTTCCTATGCATTTCTGCAGGTGATTATTAAGAAGTTCGAGATACCGTGCCCTCTGCCTCTGACTGATCATGTGAATGAAACCTTGCTGAACATCACCCACCACAGCGACAACACCACCACCGATGATGACACCTGCAGACCTAAATATTTTGTCTTTAACTCACAGGTAAATACATCTATTTCTGCGAATCTTTTCAGTTATATTTGTTGAACTATTTGTAACCTTTGGATCTTTTCATTTTTCCAGACTGTCTATTCTATTCCCATTGTTACCTTTGCCTTTGTGTGCCACCCTACCATCCTACCCATGTATGAGGAGCTCAAAGAGTAAGTCCTGCTTCCTTGGTGTAATATCAAACTTTCTATAATATTTAAACCCATGTTATATCTCTTCAAAATAATGTCTAAATTATACCTATTTTCTGTAAACAGCCGCTCACGCAGAAAGATGCAGAATGTTGCCAACGTGTCCTTCCTGGCCATGTTCATCATGTACCTGCTGGCTGCCCTCTTCGGATACCTCACCTTCAACAGTAAGTCTTACCAGGTTTTTTTCTAATTTAAACATAAAAACTTAATATGGCTAGACATACTGGCATTGTATATAAAAAGTATATATAAAGTATAGTATATAAAGCTCTCTTGTCAATCTAGGCTTTAAGTAACATTTATCAAACCTCTTAAATGTGGTTTCACAGGTAATTTCCCCCCCATTTTTTTTTTTAAATGTTTAAGATATTCAGGTTTTACAATGAGGTTTCAATTAAAAACATTTGTGTGACGATGCAAGGCCAGTTATGCAACAGTGTGAAAACACAAACCTGATGCAGCTGGTGCCATCATGTTCCTGTTTGTCTTCAAATGTTCCCTGGAACATCCCAGCAGTTACATAAGAGATTTAAACCGTTTATTTAACAACATAAAACAGCCACAGTCCCACACGCATTTAGCTGTTAAATTACCAATAATTAATCAGAGATCGGTTACTATATTTATCTACAGTTGTTTAAGTAAACACACATTAGATTATTATAATTTATAAATATATATATGAGGCTGTATTGTAAGTAAAATGTATAACGGGCTGATTTATAGCAAACAAAGATAAATTAAAGTAGAAGTCAGCTGTTTGCAGGATAATACCTTTGTAGCTAAATACAAGCACCTAATCTCCCAGAAGCACAAAACATAATTAGCAGTTAGTATTTATGCTTGTCAGACATGTAATTAGCCTTTATTAGTTGAACTGGTTAATTGGAAATTTGAAAAAAAGTAAGGAAACACACATTTATGTGTTTATTAGCTAAAATTTTAAATGGTTATTTTAGATAATTTAAAAAATGGGTTTAATGGGATTAAATGTAGCTTTTTGAAGATTCTTGGTACTTATTTAAGGGTAAGAAGTAAGAGGAATTTTTTTTTGACATTGTAGCTAAACGGCTCAGCTAAAAACTGTAAAAAAAAAAAAAAAAAGTTGATTTATTGCGTTAACCTGTAGAAAAAGCCTAAACACATCAATAAAGATTCATCAATGCATTTTAACAAGCTTACAATTGGCTTGTTTGGACCATTGCTTTGTGAATCAAATTTAGCTTCATTTATGGGCTTTATTTTTTCTAAAAGGGGTCTTAGTGAAATGAGTTAGCATGCAAACACTTCATAATAAGATGACAGGAAGTGATGTTGGATTTTAGTTTATCAAACTTATAAGCGTTTGCAAAATAACTCAAATAACTTGTTTCTGTGCAGTCCATGTGGAACCTGAACTGCTCCACACCTACTTCAAGTACTTCAAGCATGATGTCCTCCTGTTGGTGGTTCGTCTGGCTGTACTGGCTGCTGTCACACTCACAGTCCCTGTGGTGCTCTTCCCTGTAAGTGTCTGAGCTTTACTATCTGTTATAGTGAACCAAGACCATGAAGTCCAGTGAACTAATCTTGGTTTGTTTCTGAACAGATTCGTACCTCCATCAGCCACCTGCTGTTCTCAACCAAGGACTTCAGCTGGATCCGACACATTATTATCACTGTAATCCTGCTTGCAGGAACCAACACTCTGGTCATCTTTGTCCCCAGCATTAGAGATATCTTTGGCTTCATCGGTTAGTACCTGCATATATCTATAAGATTTAGTGTCTTGATAGCGAAGCATTATTGACTACATATGTTTAACTTTACCATTTGTTTTCAGGTGCCTCTGCTGCTGCAATGCTCATCTTCATCCTGCCCTCAGCTTTCTATATCAAACTTGTCAAGAAGGAGTCAATGATGTCAATGCAAAAGATTGGGGTAAGTGTTAATAAGACCAACATAATGCAACTATTTGAACCTATATTTTCTATGCCCGCATCAAAGCTGACTTTTTTTAAAAACTACATAGATATAGTGGTTTCACTTTGTATTAATAGTTTATTTATTTCCTCCTGCAGGCCGTATTGTTCCTGATATTAGGATTCTTTGTCATGTTTGGCTGCATCACTTTGATCCTTATGGACTGGATCTCCAACAGTGAGGTCGCCGATAAGGGTCACTGATGCTCCAGCTCTTCTGCTGGCAGAGGGGAAGCTCTCAGAGCTAGACTGCTAAAAAAAATTACACACAACCAAGAAAAACAACATTTGATGAACAAAACAAACCACAAAGACTCACTAAATGCTCGTCTTGGACCTACTGAGCATTGGATCACACCATTCCATGAGAATGTATCTGAACTCTGTACATTATGCTGTTCTAGACCACAAAGATGGCGTTTCTCTCTTTTTCTTGTAATATTTTAAATAGTCTTTTACTTTTTACTTTTTTTTTATTACTATTATTATCGTTGTGGTACAGCTGTAAACAAAACGCCGCAGGCCAGAGACTGGAAGAGAGTTTAAAACACGGCTTACGCTCAGGTACAGTGTTATTTGTGGGAGAGCGTAGCTGTGAACTCTTTAACTTAGCGAGAACATCCCGCTGAAATATGTACATGAATCTCCCAAAGACTAACACGGGGCCACATGACTTGAAACTTCATGGACAATTTGCTTTGGTTTAACCTTTGTGTTTTCTTTTTGTCTAACTTTACCAAAAAAAAAAAATGTGTCTGAAAAACATCTTTGTGTATCGAAGAGCACTTATAGCTGAGCTCATTTGTCAGATTTCACTCAAACGGCACCTATCCAGTATTTTTTTTTTTTACCAAGGTCCTGTGATTTTAATCAAAGTGTCAGCTAGCGAATCTGTGAACAAAACCAGACACTGGGAGATCTGTATTAGATCTCATGTGAAGGGCATGTGCAGCAACAACACTACTGCTTTCAAGGAGGCCGGCAAGCCTTCCGGTTCCATCTTCCCTGCCGAGCAGATTCACGGAGGGGAACCCAGAATGTTTTTTTCTTTATGGGAGAATACTCTGAATTTGACCACATGCAGTGGTTGTAATATATATATACCTGTTACACTTGCAAAACCGCAACAGCTTCAACTGTATGAAGTCAGGTGCACTCCGAAACACCAACAAGTAACCAAGAAAAGACCCTGAATTCTTCAGTGTTTCATTTCATCGCACAACAGTGTTTCACAATGAAGAACACGGCAGCCCGGCATGTATCCAATTCCCACCCTGTCATAGACCGGGCATCAGAGGGTGCACTGTGCTTCCAACACTAACACATCACCAAACTGTGTGTCATCTATTTATGGAAGACCATTAAAGAAGTGTAATTTAAACTATTTTAATATATATTTATACAATATTGTATGTACATATGTATGTATATGTATATATATCTTCTTTTTTTAAAGAATTTTTTGTTTAAAACCTTTATAGAACAATTTCTTGGAGTCAAAAACCAAATGTAATGATAGTGTAAAGAGTTTGCTCTAGAACATCTGAGCTTTATCCGTTCATCTCTGTAAAACCTCACTGAATGAATTCGAACTTGTAAGCATTCAGTGTAGAAATGGCACAAATTGAGCCACTTTTTTAAATTTTTAAGCCCCTAAAGACAAATAAAATAAATACGTTCTTTTTGGTCAAACACAGAACGGACACTGGCTATCAGTTTTACACAATTGTTTCAATGAAACACTATGTACATACTGTAAATAATGACCCAATAAAATGATTATGAACTAGAAACATGACTCTGTGTCCATTGTACTTTCTCTTACCCTTGTTTAAAAACATTATGATAAATAGTCTGGTACTGGTATAGATCGTTTGCATGTTCAGCCTTGCATAGATTATGTTCCAGAAGACTTTTCCTACTTTAATTATTACTTTTATGCACAGCTTTACATCCCTTTTGGACTTTATCACCTGGTACCGAGTAAATATTTAAGTTTCTTCCAACATTGTATTTCCAGAGTGGGATTACCTCTGGCCTTGATAATCTTCCCTTCTTCTTTAAATTCGCCTTTTTTCCAGGAGCCAATCAGAAACTGTGACAGACATTAGTACATATACTGTACTAATGAGAAAACCTTCCTGAGTGTCACAGTGATAGAGAGAATGATCTCGGAAAAATGTTGCACCATTTTTATGAACATTATCTGTTATACTGAGTAATTTTGGTGATTCTCTCCTAGAATCATGTGAAATATGTTCACCAACTCTAACCCACTTCTGAATTATTCTAAAATATATGTAATCAACTGTTGCTTAATAGTTCATTACAGTCTCCAAACAAATCTTAGTTCTTACACTGGATATATATTTTACCAGAGGGACCCAAATACCATACCCTGTGGGACTCCATAAATAGCTGTTCTGTTTAATGAAGCATATTGTTTAACACCAGCTTTTGAATAGCTGCTTTTTAAGAAAAAAAAGATAAGATGGTTGTATATTGATCTATAAAAGGCTAGATTGGATTAATAATAGATGGCTGAATGGGCCTTAATGTGCTTGGTGATGTTCTTGGAATTAGAAAGTTGTGGGTTCAAACACATTTGTACACAAAGATACATTTATGCCATCTAAATTGTGGCATTAACTAAAGTAAAAGTTTACTTTTGATGCCATTAATGTTATTTATGGTTTAAACTGTTTTTGTTTTTTAGAGGAACCTATTAAGTGATCCTATTTCACATGCACAATGTTGTCTAAGCCACTTTTATTTTCTCCAAAATATTTTTATTAAGCATTCAGTCAAGAAAAATACAATTTCAAGTACACTAGAACAATTTTCCCCCTTTAACCCCTCGAACCACCCTCCTGTTGCACCATTAAGGACAATCAAAATATGACTTTGTGTATTACTCCAATGAAAAGAGTGTGGGATCCATAGCCTTGATGTGGTTCAGAATAGGTTGACAGACACTGAAAAACTTGTGGGCATAGCCTCTTGTAGAGAATCTGATTTTCTCTAATGTCAAATGATGCATAAGATCAACCAGCCATAACTTAAAGGATGACAGGTGTGTGTCTTTCCATTTAAACAAAATTGGTCTTCTAGCAAGAAGTGTGGCAAAATAAATTACATTTTTTATTTTGTCTAAGCCACGTTAATCTGAATATTTTAACTCATGCATTACTTGTTTCTTTCCTGATACAAATCTTTCATTTGTTTAATAAACATTTCCACTTTATGAAATGGAAATGTTCCTTTTCACTGCTAAGCTGCTGCTCATTCACTGTCTAGAGCTGTAGAAATGAAATTTATTTTTGACAATAACATTTAATTTTGACTATGTGAGGGATCAGACTCTTTATAGATCAAGAGGAGATGAAGGTTAAACAATGTCAGCAGGGAAGCATGGAACACAATGATATACAGTATAGAAGCATATTTGCAGTGCTCCACAGACATCTACTAGCTTACTTATGGTGACCTCTAGTGGTTAGTGGTGGAAACAACCCAATAAAGATGGATGATATGTGTTTCTAAAAAAAATTATTTTATTTAATATTCCAGAACTTCCCTTCTTCTTTTAATCAGTCTTTTGTGTCTCCTGAAGCAGTGGCAGAAAGAGAAGAACTTGGGGAAAACTATTAGCTATTAGGAAAACTGTTGGTACCCTAAGGAAGCTCCAAAGGAAGAGAGACAGTTGGCGGAAGAGAAAGATGAGCGCTCCAGGTGGTGGTCTTGCAGACACAGAGAAGATGCAGACACGGTGAAGAGTATTTCATGGTTTGTGGATAATAACCGGAGAATAAACATGGTTTGGCTCCAAGAGAGGACCAGATGTCCTGCTGAGACAAAAGTCTAAAATGGAACACACAGTAAAGGTTAGTAAGCATCTGCAGGTGAGTATAATAATATAATAGAGCATTTATCAAAAAGTTTCAAAAGCGGGAAAAATCTGGTATTTTCAATACAGAAAGTGAGCTACATGTGATTTATTAATATCTATTCATTTCAGTTTTTCATAGAACACAAGAATATGACCACTTATATACCTAATTAAAGAAAACAAGAAACAACTGCAATGGCCATAGTGATGCACAAAAAAAACCCAATATATATAAAATATGACTGAAGGGGTGTGGGAAGAAGCAAACTTATTTAACCCCACCCCCATTTCCAATATGAATTACTAAAATTGTGCTTCCTTCAAAATTCAATATGCCCTTCCTTAGCTTCTTAAAAAATACATACATACAGTAAGTACATAGGGCTTCGTTGAAATAAGATTGTAAAACTGATAGACAGTGTCCTTTCTGTGTTTGCCCATAAAAGAATGTCTTGCATATTTATGTTTGTTCAGAGGCTCAATTCTTTTTTCAAAGTGGCTTAATTTTTGACATTTCTACTCTGAATGCTTATTCACTGATATTTTTACAGAGATAAATATATAAAGCTGACATGTTCTAGTTTAGTTCAGAATTGTTGTAACACTTTGCTTTGCTCTTCCAACACATTTTATTCTTTCAAGACATTTCTCTTTCCTATGGAAACAAGAAGGCTTGTAAGCATAGAGTAGAATAGAATAGACACTCCCTTTATTGTCCCACAATGGGGAAATTCTGGTGTTTACAGTAGCAAAAAGATTGTAAAAGAATATGGTCACACAAATATGGAGCTTAGCAAAATATATAAGAATAAAATAATGGTGAGGTAAAAGATAAACAATAAAATCCCAAGAACTTAGTGAGCAAGGGATGGCTGATTACGGATAAACATTAAGAATAAAAGTTAAATATTAAGTTTGAAAAGTGAATATTTAATTTGCGAAATTGATGTTTATCCTGACTGAAACATTTAGATTGGAACTACATATTTATTTGAAAGCTTAATATTTAGTTTGTTAAATAGATATTTAGTTAAGTGCTAAAAATTCTGCTTGCTAAAGAAGTATTTATTTAACAAGTTTAATATTTCATTTTAAATTATATATATATATCTTTCTAAGTAATTTTTCTAGTTTGAAAATGTGATTTTTATCAAAATAAATGATGATGGGGATTTTTTTCCCCCTCATGTTTGAAGCTAAATAATCCCAAGTATTACTTTGAATATTTAACAAGATAACTTTACAAAAGGGTACCCAAAAATACAGCAGCAGATAACCAAGTAGAGTTTTGACTTTTTGTGTATGCCCTATTTTGCAATATACATTAGCTCTGGGAATCAATGTACCAAAGCCAGATGATAGCCCAACAGACTTGCTTTTACAAGCAGACCATTTTGACTGTTGCCATAAGGTTCTGCTTGGTACTTGTATATGAAATTTTATCGAAAATTATTTTACGAGTAAAATCAAATGCAACGCACATGGTGACAGACAGGGAGGTGAGAATGAAAAAGGGTATAAGATCAAAGGGAGAAGAGAGATTTCGGAAAGAAAGCGTGGGGGGCGTGCAGGACTAAGAAAGAAAGCATGAAAAAAGATAAAATAAAACAAAACAACAAAAATGAGAAACAGAAATATATACAATAACTCTTAGGAATCTGCTTCCACACCTGTATAAGACGAGAGGGAAAGAAAATGGAACATAATAACAGCAAAAAGAAGACAACAGACATCCAAAGTAAACGTCAAGAAAAAACTTTAAGAGCAGAGGTCATCACTTTGATATTAATGTGTGTCGAAGTCAAAACCTATGGTGATTACAAAGTATTAATCAGGGTGGTATATATATGTAGTTGCAGCTTAGTATTTAGTGTATCCGTGGACACCTGGAACCAAATTCCTATGGTATCTATGCATGGGCATGCTCATGCATACATTTACAAAGCTTCTTCAGTAGGAAATATTCCAAAAAGCAGGTGTGAGTGCCCCCAGGCAAGCCCTACAGGGCCCAGGACCAATCCCTGAAGGGCCAAACCCCAAAGGGACCCAGATACAAAATACATTAAAAGATGTACATGTGCCTGATGCTGATGTTCTTACTTTAGTAGAAGGCCTCAAAAATTATTTATTTCGAAAAAACAAGGGATCTCCAGTAGTTTCTTCACATTAATCAGCTAAACTTTTATTCCTGTTATGCCATAAAGTCTGCCAAACGTTGATCTACAACGTAGAAGCAGAAGAACTTTCACCCAGTAAATGTGTATGTGGTGTTGAGAGTTTTTTTCTCAGTGGTTTATGAATGAAAGTGAAACTTGTAAGGCAACTACAAAACAGGTTTTAATTAATTTTTAACGTCTTAATTTTTTAAGACGTTTCGACACCTATCCAGGAATCTTTGTCAATTATGTCAGCTCGCACCAGATCAATCTGATGGAGGTCCATCCTGCTAAGCACATTTCTAGTCAGATGCAAATCAAATTGCCACCTCTTTTTCTTCTGTATGTTGTGGTAGAGTTTGGGAACTATACCCTCATGTTGGTGTGAGAGTATGAAGGTATTTCCAAAAAGCTTGCAGTGTACAGGAACCTCCTCTGTTACATGATTTGAATCTGACTTGGAATGTGCTTAGGCGAAGGGCAACTTGCGTAAATGCAAAACACATTTTGTTTTCAGTTTAAACAAGTTGCCTTTTTATTTTATTCTTTCCTTTGTTCTATTCTTGTAGCATTAATATAAGAAAATATCAGATAGGGTAAGATCAGATATACTAAAAGATCACATACCTCTCTCATGGGAGAAATCAGTCCTGGAAAAAAACAATGCAGCAACATTACAGACACAAACCACTCTCAGAGTCAGAGGCAAAAAATATATAGTAAAACACCAGCATAAAAAATAGAACATCTATCAGTAAGTAAAAATAAATAAATT